CAATTTAGACTTTAATTTTTTGTGTTTTGGTTATATAAATGATATAAGTAGGATGTTTGAAAATTCAGCAAAGTTTTGTTTGGAGAGAAACAAAAGCTGAATATTTAAAAAAGAAAGCTGAGTAAAAGTGGGAAATAATTAGTATTGTGTAACAAAGCAGTGGCTATTGATGACTATATATGCTTTGTATACAACCAGAGATATTAAAAAAGGGTAACAGTATGACATTATTTAAAACAAAAAATGCAGAATCCTGAGAGAGCTTTACCTGCTTTATAACTTTATGTAGATCTTCACTTTTTACTCTTTTCCATTTTATCCTATGTGGGGTCCACATTTGAGTTTAAAAGAAAAATAATGGATGTTAAGGATTAGAAGAGAAAACCAAGTTGAAAATAATTAACATTCTACATAATTGATTCTCTTTGATGATTTGCTTACCATCAACAAGGCATGTTATAGTAGAAAGATTATCTTGGTATGAGTCCTGTTTTTGCCAGGTTGAGTTGCCATTTACAGGTTGAGTGTACTTAAGTCAGTTGGCATCTCAGAGGATCTAACTGGTCACTAATAATGGCTTAGCTCATAAGGTGAGGATCAAATGAGATATATAAGGTATTTTGTAAATTCTTTTATATGTATGTATGTGAATGCTTTTATATATGTATGTAAATGCTTTTAAAATAGGGTACAGTGATGGTATTTGAAAGTAGATCTTAATATAAAATAGTTATACTTTATTTACTTTTCAAAACTATTTCTTAATTTAGTCACCACCACCCTACCATCCCCAGAAAAGAGACAATGAGGGGCCTGATTATTAAAAAGATATTGAGCCAGCTGTATATCGTGGCACACACATGTAATCTTAGTGACTCCACAGAGTTCCATAGGCAGGAGGATGTCAAGTTTGAGGCCAGCCTGGGTAACTTAGTGAGACCTTATCTTAAAATAAAATACAAATAGAGTTGGGGATATAGACCAATGATAGAACATTTGCTAGCATGTGTGAGACCCTGGGTTCAATCCCTAATAGCACAAAACAAAGAAAAAAAAATAAACACAAATGGATTTTCATCTGTCTGTGTCAGGTTGGGCTTAGTCCTGCTGAAGATGTGAAGGATGATTAATTTAAGCCAGATAGTATGGCTTTGATTGTCCTCAGTGTCAGTCATTCAGAGAACCTGGATTAATTCATGAATGTTCATTTGATCAACTTAAAGTGACCATATGTGATGTGGAGGTTAGTATGATATTTAGGAAACTGTTTAGGAGAGGAAGTAGATATTAGTAAGTCAGACGTAATTCTGGAATTATTTACAGAAACAAAACAATTTTCAAAGAAACATATCCTGTCCACATGTCAGTGTCAGAGATCATGGATACTATATATTTCTCCTAAAATGTTTTAATAGATAAAAGGCAGAAAGTTCAAGCCCAAAGTGACGTTAGTATACTGTATGACATTAATCAAGGTCTTATGAATAAAAGTAATCAAAGTAAGGGCTGGATTTGTAGCTCAGTGGTAGAGTCCTTTCCTCGAACAACTGAGGCACTGGGTTCATCTTTAGCACCACAGAAAAATAAATAAATAAATATATTGTGTCCATCTACAACTAAAAATATTAAAAAAAAAAACTCAATGTACTTTATGGTTAAAAAAACCTCAATGTAATTAAGTGAATTTGGACAATATATTGCCAAGACTTGAGCATACTGAATTAAAAATTATAGGACAATATTATTCATAAGAACAATAATAGTAGTAACAACCACAGTGACAACCACACATCTATTCAAAATTTATTGTGAATCAAATTGCTTAAGGTACATTATTTTATTTACTCCTTACAACAGCTCTGTGAAGTTACTCTTATTACTTTCATCTTCATAGATGAGAAAACTGAGGAAAACAAATTATGTGCACAAAGGTACACAACTAGCAAGTATTATTTATTCAATATTTATTGAGTGTGCCGTCCACAGGTCTGCCTTGTTCTAGGTAGTGGGGAATTAGCAATGAGTTAAACAAAATCTCTACCTTCCCAGAGGGTCTCACCTTTCATGAGGAAGATACGCAACAAACAAACAAACATGGAAACATCCAGTAAGTCCAATCGCAGCAAGGATTATGTGGAGCAGTAAAACCAAGTGAGGAGGCAAGAGTGCAAGGATGGGGTAGTGAGATGAGCTTTATCACTCTTTTATCTAGCGTGGTGGGGGAGACTTCTCTGATAATGTGACATTTCAGCAGATACCTGGGAATAAAGGAATGTTTTCAGGAAGAGTGCTCCTGGTAAAGGAGGGGAAAAGGTTCTTGTTCTTGGGAGGATGATATGGGAGGCCATATATTTGGAGTGGGCAAAGAAGATAATGGTTGGACTCCAGAGCCCGTGTTTTAATTCTACACTAATCTCATTTGGTCAACCACAGCATTACCTAACTCACTGTGATCTTGGGCACATACTATATTAGAGAAATATATATTCTTGTGGCAAGGAAAAGGGTAGTGACATGTTATGCTGGGGAGGTTCTCTGAGACATCTCTGTGGTCTAGGGAGAGGTCCTTCTGAGAATAAAAGTAAGGTATATTTATGGACCATAAGTTAGGGAAACTGGGAGTGAAACTTTTACCCCCTCAGAACTCTACAGTGATTTTCCATTGCCTGCTGAGTTTTAGAGAAATTGTGTCTTTCTGAAAACCCTGCTTTTGAATTATGATAAAGACTATGTTCAAAACTGCTAAGCTATGCTGTTCTTCTTACAGTGTGAAATTAATTACAAATTCCTTGGCATCCTGTCCCTTACAGATTGAAGCCAAAAGACCTGACAAGAAATACAGGGCCCTCATAGTATGGCTCCCATCCTCTCTTGCCCTTACTTCTTCTGTCCCTCCCCTTGTACCTTGGCATAGAACAAAACAGTTCTAGGACTTTGTATATTCCAAAATGTCCTACTTTCTTCTGTGACTATAATTTTATATTTTCTTTAAAGCCTTTCCTCACGGCTTCTCCTTCCTAGATTGAGTTATAACTTCTTTCCTTGGCCGCTTTTTCGAGTTTGGGTTTTGTTGTATTTGCTCATCATTTCCAGTTGAAATCCTTCCTTTAGCTCCTCACCTCCTAGACAGGATTAGATTTGCATAAAGATCTATGCAAGTGTTGATCATGGCTCTTACCACACTTTTTTTTTTTTTTTAAATTTCTCTTTCAGACTAAGTCATTGAAATCTTGTTTTTAGAATCTAAATTCCAACCAGATTCCAGGCTTGGCATGTAGTTTACTTCCTCACTTAAATTACACTTATAATAGATGCAGAGTTGTATTAGGGTTTTCTAAATGAGCAGAACCAATAGAATGGGTATATAATTATAAAGGAGGATTTATTAGATTGGCTTAGATGCTGTTCCTACAATGGCCATCTATAAACTGGAGAGTTGGGAAAACCAGTAACTGCTCAATCCAAGAAACTGGAAGCTTCAGGACAGGAGGGTCCATTGATGTAGCCCCAGTCCAGGCTGAAGGTCTGGAAGCTCCCTGGAGAATTGCTGGTGTGAGTCACATTCAAAGACTGAAGAACCTGGAGGCTGATGTCTTATGGAAGCAGCAAAAGCCACACCTGCTCAAGAACCACTCACTGTGCATGTGACTGACTTTCCTCCTTTGCTTTTTGTTCCATCTGGGCCCCCACTCTATTTGATAATATTACCCACATTCAGGGTTGGTCTTCTTACCTCAGTTGGCTGACCCACATGCCAGTGTTTCTGGAAACACCCTCATAGACACACCCAGAAATATGCTTTACTAATTTTCTAGTTGTCTCTCATTCCAGTCAGGTTGACAGCCAAGATTAACCATCACAAGAGTAATCATGATGAAAGTTTTGATCAGATTAAACCAAGAAGAGTATGTTGAACAGTGATTTCATTTCACTATGGGGAAATAGATGATAATAAAGCAACTACTGTTTAATGAAAGATCACTGTGTGCCAGACATTAAAATTAGGGCTAAGTTATGAAATTTCAGCATTCCAGCTCAAATCCAGACTTGAAAGATGCATTTTGTTAGGTATAACTTTAAAGCTAAACTTTTAAAACTAAGATTTAAAAAATGCATTCATTTTCAAACGAGTGCTAACTGGATAGTAGGAGAGTTAGTGGTGCTTTAAATAGAGGAAGAAGTCCTTAAAAAGGGACAAAAGTCATCTTTGTTTCTTTATGTTCTGTTTTGAAAATGTTACTTTACAAATGTGTATACTTGGCTACATGGCAGATATCTTCCGGAAAGAACACTGTACTCATTTATAATTTGGACATGGCATGTTGGGTAAGACAGAGGGCTATTGGGGAAGAAACCCAGATGAGACCCTGCATAATGCAATGCTTCGAGCAGTCATAAACAGTTAATTGTAAAGGCTTCTGCAAGGGCCATCTTTCCAACCTAAGGCCCAAAGTGGAATACTTTAGCCCATGGTTTCTTAGTGCTAGTCCTGATTTTTTATTCAGCAAGAAGCCTACTAATTAGGAAGTCTATTGAGTAATTTTTGAACCGGAATTCTCATTGGTGATTGCTTTGTATTTCTCAGAAAAGTATGTTATTTTAAATTGACACGTGGCTTATAATCACTGATAAAGTAATTTTTAGACAAATATCTAATTTTGACTTGCTTAACACTTATGTTACTCTAGTAAAGTTGAATTACACTCTGAAGTACTTTCAAGTGAAAAATCTCAAAAAAGTTTTTATGTAGTTTACTATACTTCTCATGGCACAATATAACTTTTATTCCTTTTTTTGTTTTGTTTTGTTTTGATTTTATGATCTCCTAATTTCTCGATAATTTGTGCCAATTAAACAAATTAGATATTCCTTATTGAATCCTAATCCTAATGAGTCTGTTGGTAAGAAAAACTGTATTAGTGCTCAAAAGTGCTTTCAACCCTTTACATTTTCTGGTATAAATTTATTCTAAAGCTCTTGTTGTGGTTGTTCTGTTGCAGTGACACAGCTGCGAAAGCCCTGTGGGAAGCCTTACTGAACACCAAGCACAAAGAGGCAGTGATGGAAGTTCGGAGACATCTAGTGGAAGCAGCAAGCAGAGAAAACCTGCCAATCAAGATGAGTATGGGTAAGCCTTTCTACTCCACCTAGGAAGCTTCTTTAAGCCTGCTCCGAACTGTGTACCAGTCTAGCCAATGTGGTGAAAATACTGAATGCATTTGTGAACTGCTGAAAGAATAGGGAAGAATTATGTGCACACTGCCCTTGGGCTTGGCATTGATGACTTTTCTTAGAATGCTTGGGAACTTTAGGAAAGTTCTTGCTTACAAAGAATAATTCTTTTAGTTTCTTAACTGATTCTAAAACTATCAAAATCAGTCTGGACTATCTTCCCTTAATTCTATTCCACCCCTACTCCCCTTTTTCTCCCTGTCCAACTTATAGTAGATGAAAGTTCTTTCATTGGTTTTGAATTAATGAATGAACTATTATTCTGAAAAAGCAACTGAGCAGACAGATATGTTCTATCCTGGCCCCTCACCCTAGAGCAGTCTGCTAATTGTCCAGTCACATGAATGTTACTTCTTCTTCACCATAGATCACATACTTCATGTTTCTCTCTCTCTTTCTAACATTCAACTTTGTCTTTGGAAGAATATGGCTGCAATGAATTTTAAGTGTTTTAAACATTATTAATTCATTCATTAATTTATTTTTGTGATACTGGAGATTGAATTTAAGGCCTTGTGCTTTCTAGTGCTCTACCACTGAGGTACATCTGCAGCTGAAATTTCTTTAAAATATTTTTTCTTTTTACCAAAAAGTAAAAAAAAATCACAGAAGTAATATTTTTATTTTAGAAAATAAATTTGGCTTTTAAAGTTTTTTGTTTTTAATAATACATTAAATTTTAATATGGAAATATTTAAATATGACTATTGAGTATGGTTAATAGGTAGAATTTATTTCTGGAAACTTGCAAAAATTAATTATTTTAAAAATAAGGTTTCTTATAATCTGCTTTTTGATATCTACTAAATATTAGTTTATTGATAGTCTGTCTTTTATTTTCAGTAATATGATACTTTTGTGATACTTTTCTATGTCTGGTTATTTTACTTAATCATGAAAACCTCCAGACCATTCAAATGATACTTCTTTATAGCAGAATAAAACTCAATTGTGTGTGTGTATACCCCATATATTTTTTTAACCCACTCATCTGTTGATGGGCATTTAGCCTGATTCTATACCTTGGCTATTGTGAATACTACTGCAATAAATGTGGGTATGCAGGTATATGTTTTTCACACTGACTTCCTTTATTTTGGATAGATACCTAGGAGTAGAATTGCTGGATAGTGTGGTAGATCTATTTTTATATTTTTTAGGAATCTGCATACTGCTTTCCATGGAGGGTAGCCTAAGTTTTTAATTATGGTACAATAATTAAAAGTCAAACTATCAAGTTGAAATAGAACAAAAATTTGGAAATAGAACAATGTAGATGAGCCTAGGAAGAAAAAAGTTATAGGGTCATTACATGAAAATGCAATTATGACTTTTAATATATTAAGTGACTATATGTGAGAATTTTAAAGAACATAGTGATGATAAGAAAAGTGAAAATAATTAACATTTGTGCCAAGAGTTTCTACTTCTTTACATGTGTAGTTTTATTTAATCATTACAGTAATTCTATGAGCTAGGAACAATTCACATATCCCATTTTTCAGATGAGGAAACAAACAAAAATTAAGTCACTCAAGATCATACATCTGATAAAGGGTAGGACTGGAATTCAAATCCAAGTATTCTGATGGCAGAGGATGTACACTTTGTTTATAAAATTATGCTAATTCCATGTAACCAATGCCAGAAGTCTTACATGTTGTTTGGGGTAGAAATAAAGTTACTGCTTTGAGAGCATTCTGGCATTTAATTACCAATTTTAGTTCCCTCCCTCCTTCCTTTTCTTATGCCTTTCTTCTTTCTTTTTTTCCTCCCTCCCTCTTTTATTTCCAGTCTTAGGTAAACATTACTAACAAGTGTATTTACCTTTTAGAATCCCTTATTCATGAACATGTTGAAACAAGAACTAATTTGTATTGTGAATCATCAAAAGTAGGAATGCACAAGGGGTCTTAATGATAAGGTTAGTTTACGTTGTGTTTCAGTGACATAACCTTATGATGCTGTCACAGAGCAGAATCAATTCTGATTGCTCACTCTAGGACTCTCAAAAGATCAAGAAACTTTACTTTTTGTGAAGAGCCAGAAAAAAATAAAAAGGCAGATTCCCCATGAGGAAATCAAATGTCAATGTTTGCATTTTCTCCTCTCCCCCATATTAGGTAAATGGTTTTCTTTATCCCAAAACTCCACACATGAGGGTGGAATCCAAGAGGAAGAAAGAAACAAAGAAATAGGTGATTGCTAGCAAGACTGGCTCATACTCTATCCTTGTGCCAATTATAATTTTGTAAAAAAATAACACAGTGTAGCTACCCATTTCTGCTTCATATCATTAGCTGGAATTTCTTACGTGTCTCATTTCCATATATAAACAGGCATATAACTATGCAAGTAAGAAAAAGAGCTGAAAGTTTTAATCATAATGACATTGAATTTTGAAAACTGCCTATCATAAGCTTATTATTTAAAAAATGAAGATTTGTTCTCTTAAATGATTTAAATGCTTTTTTCTAGCAGCATTTAAGACTATGAAATACTATGAAGTGCACTTTAAATTATGCACTGTCCTCCCACCCCTGCTGTAACTCTTACTGAAGTATAAATTTTCCTGACTACAATAGAGGCTTCTGGTATTTTTTAGACATTAAACAGACTTTATTTCTAGACTGAGGATTCTCTTGTGTAAATTCAATGAGAAGGATCTCATGACTGAAACCTTAGATCTTAAATATAAAGTTTCTCAGTACAAGGTAAGTTCATATTAAACATTATGAGCACCAAGAGAAATAAACACCACTCTCTTAAATGATAAGAGTTTATTTGCTAAAATAAAAAAATCATTTTATCATTGCACATATAAACATAAGTCATCTTTCTAAGAGCTTGTTATTAAATTGTCAGTTAAGCAGTATGTTTCAGAAGAGTGATTTAAAAAAAAAAAAACACGAAGAATGACTTGTACTTTTCTTACTGGATTCCATAATGAAAATGTATTCTGAAAGTAAGAAACAAATACATGCTAAGAATCTATTTGATTGTGTCCAAAATAGCCACTTAGAGAAGAAATGAGAAGATGCCTGTCTTGAACTCTGATACCTTGGAGAGAATCTTCTCTGGAGTACCATTGTGGTCATGGTGGTCGAGAGATCTTCACCTGTCTGCCCTACAGCTCTGTGAACAAGAGATACATTCCTCAGTTTATAATTTGTAGCAGAATATCCTGTTAGAGCTGAAGGGAAACAGATCTCTTAATAATACTGTCCTTTCTTTAGCAGCTACAATTCTTGAGAGTATTCTGTACTTGATGCCTGTTTCTTTGTTGTTTTATTGTTTATAATTTAGTGCAGTCTAGGTGCTGGTACTTTTTTACTGAAAAGTCTCCCAGACACTAAAACTAAGGAGATTTTTTCTTCCTCAGTCTTTTTTCTTCTCGGCTTCTCTATGGCATCCACTTCTAGGCTATTGCTTCTTTCTCATTGGTGTGTTTTCTATGACTTTTGGTCCTCCTGATTTTGATGGAGTACCAAGTTAATTCTCTTGGGGTTGAATCACAGGTCTGCCACTTATTAGACAAACATATTTATTTATCCATAAAATGGGAGAAATATCTACTTCCTGGAAATTGAAAGAGAATGAAAACTCAGATCTTAGTGGTAGTTAACACTTTGAAGCAAATTGGAATTTGTGTGCTGTCTGTGGAAAAGTCTTCTTTCTTTGAGAGGAACATACTATTCATTCTTTTTCACTTGTCTTTTTCTAGGCCTTATGCTGAGTGTTTGTCTACGGCCATACCACCCTGAACGCACCCGATCTCGTCTGAATATCTACTTTCTAGAAGCACCTGCCTTTCTTCCTTTCTTTTTTTCCTTTCTGTTTTTTTTTTTTTTTTTTTTTTTAAAGAGATAGGGTCTTATTGTTGCCCGGGCTGACCTCATCTTTGTAATCCTCCTGTCTTGGCCTCCAGGGTAGCTAGGATTACAGATTTGTGCCCTGGTGGCTGGTTTAACCAAGTCTTTCTTTATACATAATTCTGAATAGTTTTTCACTTTACTTTAGTTATGATTAACTTCTTCTCCAACTCCATTCACATCTTCACTTCTACCCTATCTCACCTTGACTGTATTAGGAATTCCTGTGCCTCTATGGTCCACACTTTTATAGAAAAATCTCTTGAGTTACGTTTCTAGATCATAATCCAACTCACTATGCTGTGATACTTCTCAATTTGCTCTCATAGTTCTGGGGCACCTTAGTGTCAGCCCTGTTTATTCACCACCATTTTCTCTTTTCCAAATAATTTATGATGAATTCTTTGAACCATTTGTGAACAGACAAGCCTGCCCACCTTGTACCATCATGGCTGCCTCTAGTTCCGAACCAGTAGGAAAGCTCTAGTTAACCTCTCAGCTGTACAAAGATACTGTCTTGGCCTTCCCTTATTTTGGACACCACACTCCTCTTAATCAAGTTCCACATAAGATCAGTGGTTTTTGTCCCCGCCCCCCAATGCCTTGCTTGCTGTTGTTTCCAGCTTTTAACATTTAGCAATTTCAACTAGTTTTAAAAAATAGCAATAAATCAAAACACTCTAAAATTTTATTCAATATGTCATTTTCCAACATTATTGAGAGTCCTCTGCTTCCTGTTTTTTGGTACTTTCTGCCGTGTGACCAGCACACTAGCTTCATACTAGAGGTCCTAAGCATAGAAGTTAACTAGTGAGATCAAAATAAACACACATAAACTCAATTTACCTTTTTCTTGACCAGATCAGAGACGGCCCCCTCTGGCTCCTGCCTCGAGCCACCTGGTGGGGTAGTGAGAGGTTTAAACAAGAGACTAGCAGGAGAGAGAGAGGGCACGCCAGGGAGTGGCCTTTTATTGGGGAACAAGAAATTCAGGGGAAAATTCCATCCAATGAAGGTCGAGGGG